TGAGTAAAATTAGTTTTTTATGCCAAAAATAAAGTAAGCTTACCGTGTTCAACTTGGCATTTTTATGTTTAGCATTTAGATTTTTGATGTCTGAACAATGTATGACTGCAAAAATTTCCTAAGCTGTTTATCTTGACATCGAAGCAGCTGGAAGAAAAGACTTAACAGATCTGATGGTCCCAGTAATGATTTACTCCTTAACAGTATAAGAGCACGACAGAAAGTCTAAGAAAAAGAACAAGAAAATAATCATAAGATGTTTAATTCACATATCAAAAACATCCCTCATACATTTTGGAAACAATTCTTTTGAACATACATATTTATTTTCCACAATTGAGTATACTCTAAAATTTCAAGTTTGAAGTTTCATTTAATAAAACCAGACCCCCCATATTCCCCTTTTTCAGCATAATAATCAGTCGTACCCCAGTAGTCCATTTTTTCATTTCTTACTAGTTTAACTAAACATATTGTACTTTTAACTGAAATTACTTCATAGAATAAATCATAACAGCATTTAAGACTTCTACATCTTCATTAAGTAATTTCAAAGATCAGGGAAAAGTAATTTTGTAATTGTTCATTAAAGGTTTGTAATTCTGAGCTTTCTAGCAACCTTAGGTTCAACAGAAAGAATATTTGACTGAGCATATATATTATGGATGCATGTGTACCCGGCCAGATATTTGGCCCCAGCCAGGTATTGGACTTCCCGGTATTACTTGGCTCCGGCCGAGTGTCGAAGTTAAAAACAGCCAAATCTGGGTAATTGAAAATGGCATCTAAGCCTTAATTTTTGTGGCAACTTATGCAGTACTGAAAGTTACAGTAAATAATTAGTTTAATTTTAAAAAAACATGTTCTGAGCAGCAAAGACTGACCACCCGCTGAAAGTCTGTGATTCAGAGAACAATAGGAGATAATAACAGGTATGGCTTGAGAAGTGAATTTCTGGAGAAAAGGGGAGTTTTGAGAACAATAGGGGTTAGGGTTTGAGAAGTTGGGGCTAGGCATTGAAAGTTGAAAGTAAAACTTGAATGTTCTGTTGGTGATTATTCAGTTAAATATAATAAATGTCAATTTTGTTTTTGTTTCTAATTTCTGTGTATAATGTTGTTGGTCTTTTTTTTGGGGGGGGGGGGGAGAAAACAGTCTCAGTTTAGTGACCAGGTACCCAGAACTGGTAATCGCAAAATTTTACTACCCATGCATCCTTTATATACATATATATAGTTAAATGGGCATTTACATTACCCTAAAAAAAGAAAGCACAAATCAGTGTATTTTATATGCATATTTTTAGATGTTTAAAATACTATATTTCATATCAATTTTGTTATACATGAAAGTTCATCAAAAAATAAACAAACATACACTGTGGATAAGCATAGTAGAGTAACAGACTACAGAGCTAATATCAGTTGTTCAACATGTATTAAAGTACTCTAGCACCAAATAACACATGCAGGGAACAAACATATCTTGTATTTATCGGTATGAATAAATACAAATTAAAAATACATGTATTATCAAAAATCAATTTCCCAATATGCGATATATATCTTAAGAAACCTGCAATATCTCCAACAATTCTTTCAGCATGGGCTCAGTCCCTGAGACCAGCCTCATAACCATTTTGTGCTTGTTATAGTTTTCATGCTATAAGTTTTAAATTAGTAAGCGAATGTTTACAAAATTTGGTACATTATCAGTAAACCTTACAATGATTTCATATGCAAAATATCAAATTTTTTATTAAGTCTTAAGGTTTGTAAAGCAATGATTTTCTCATGTCTTTTTTTCTTTTTGCATATTGCCTATTTAACATGCAAAGTAATTTTCATTTTAAGATTAAAAATACTTTTATGCATCAGAAAATTTTCAAATTTCACTTGCAAAATCTTTATAATGTCCAGATAATTATCAAACTTTTTTTAAGAAAACAACTTTAGATTTTATCTGTTATTTTCCATAATGAATCTCTGTATGGGTTCGGTAGATCTGACCAATCTAATAACCACCATAAAAAATTAGGAAATAAATATAAATTATGCCTCTCATTCTAGAATGAACACAAATTATAACTCGAAAACATAAATGTTTAGACTAAATAGCTTAAATCTCATAACATTATACATTTGTATATATTTATTATTTTTATTATATTGACCTTTCAGCAGTGCCTGGCTAATAATACAGAAGTTACAATGATGCAGCACACGTGCACTCATGTTACCGTATCCAATAACATAATGACCTTTGGTCTGTACAAAGTAACTTGTCTTGACTGTGTTTTAGTAGACTAGTATTTTGTAAAATACAGTCGCATTTCAATTATCATACATTATATATGTACATAGATTATTGCTATTTTGAAATAAGTTTTTAAACTTATTTTTCTTAAAACATACAACAGTAAATAAAGAAATAAAGCAAACAATTATCTCTTCTAGTTACAATCTTTGTACTCGGTTGCTGCTTTAAAATTTTACACATGGAGGATACGAAACAAAATTTTTTTTTTAAGTTTTATATATACATTTGAATAACTAAAAAGTCATAAATTACTACATCAATACCACAGAATTCCATTATAATTTATCAAGCTTAGTAACTAAGATGAACATTTTAGTCTAAAAAAATATGAAATTTCAAGAAGACTAAAGACACACCCTACCTCTTTTAAATATTGGTTCAAAAGAAATAAATGGCATCCCAACCTAATAAAATGGCTGAGAAAGCCACTAGGGTTACTTTCTGAGCTTCCGACTGGTTATTCATGTTATATATAGAAGTGTATATAAGGGAGTGTTTCCAAAATTAAAAAGAGGTGGGTGGGTTGCCACTGTGTTTGATTTATTACATGAGCAATATCTTAGCAAATAGAAAAAATAAAAGGTTCTTGTTTAATATTCTATCTTGTAAATATCAGTAATTTGAGTTTCTAATTCGTATGAAACTATAGACTTAGTATTTTGATTTCACAAACATCTAATTTGAACCAGTGATGCATTCAACATACCATTTACACACAAAAATTTGTTTACTTGTGCTTTTTAATATTTACTTTTAAATTAAGAAATTGAGTATTGTATAGTACTAAAATTTGAATTATAATCTATAGTTTGATACCAAAGTTATTGACATAAGTTCATGAAATAGCAGTTCAATAAAATTTTGAATGCGAGTCAACAAACAAGATGACATGGACTTTCACCCATCTCGAAATGGATAATATATTCTTGATACATTTAAAACTTCATATTCGAAGTTAAACATTCTTATTCATGTGTTACTCTTTCATAAAAGTACTGAATTTTAACTATCTCATTTCACCATTACCAAATGTTCATGTATATCCAAAAAGGTTAGATTTGATAAACCACAACTAAACAGTTTACCTAGATTAAATTTTGATCAGTAGTGTAAGAAAATGTGAAGAAGTATAGCATGAACAATGATAACACGTAATACAATGTTAAACTTTTCTTATAAATTAAACTGATAGTGAGTCAAAAATTGGAGGGACAGATTATCATGTTTGTTTGTTTCGTATGGTGTTTTCACACCTCCAAATTCTGTTGGAGGCGAGTATCCGGGAGTAGGACTGGCATCCTAGTTCGGTGTGATAGGGATTCAAACCCGCGACTCTCAGATTGCGAGTCCAGCGCCCTAACCACCTGGCCGATTATCATGTAAACATGCACATTCAAGACAAATCAATTACTGTGTATACAAATTTGAAGAAGCATATACACATGAATGAAGGACTTATAAAGTAGTTACTATAACATATACCATTCTCATCCTTGGTTCTAACACAGTATGATGTCTCTGCAGAAGTTCAACAAGTTCTTGAGGAAAGTCTACAAGCTCTTCTGAATAACAGTGACTAATCTAAACAAACACAAAAACACAATTACTGCAATTATATATAAACTTTAAAAGACAGAGCTAACTAACTGTAGTTATTACACAGTAAAATAAAGCAAATATATTTGTTCAAATACTATAACATCAAAAGTGCATCTTAAGAAATGAGGGTTTCAAATTCTGATCTTGAATCACCATTTTAATAATTACTAGTTAACCTGTCCACATCAGTAATGGTTAAAACTCTGTAAAGAGTGAGCTGAATCAACTTCAAAGTTATTTAGATTAAATCCAAAAACGACTATATATAAGAGAAAAAGGTTGTACCCATCCTAGCAAGAGGTTTGCACCAATAATACCAAAAGAAAATAAATGGGAGATTTGAACACTGAGACAAAGAAATAATTGTTGTTGTATCTTATAGGATTTTTTCTGGAGAAGATGATTTTTATTTGAATACTTTTATAGTCTAGAGTTGTTATTTTAGTGTATTTTAATTAGTTTAGTTGTGTTTGGCACTTTTAGGTTTTATTACTACAGGTACAGCCAAATGTGAAATTATGACATCAGATAAAGTTTATATCCAGTTTTGTCAGAACAAGAAGTTCATATGGAAACAAGTTTCAACACTTTCATGTGTCCTCTTCAGTCCAACTTTTCTTTGTGAGAGAAATATGTACAGTTTATTTTATAATGGTTGTTCCAAGTCACTTGAGGGCATATGATGTCAGTAAAGAGTTCAGTATATTTATCTTCTCAAATGTTGAAGTTTGGCAATTTTTGAACTAATGAACTTTCTAAGTGGAAATTATGTCAAAAGAAGAATATAGAAAGTTCGTTGGGCAGAATATACGAAAACTCACAAGAGATGGATTCTACTGAGAACAATGGGATAGGTTCACTGAATAACAGGAGATTTGACAAGATATCTACTATGAAGTAATTCTGTATCTGCTAACTTTAATTAAATATGTGAGAAGTAACTAAAGAGACTGGACACACTGAACAATCTCTATTAAATACCATAAATGCAGTGTGTGTGTGTGTGTGTATACTTGCCGTTACGTATTGAGAATTCGAAATTGTCTGAAGCCGATATTTTAGTTAATTTATGCTATTTGCCAACAAGATTGAGACACACTGTTTTTGTTTTTCACACAAATACATTTTAATATATATATACAACAGAACAATTTACAACAACAATTATTACAAATAGTTACCACAAACAAAGTTTTATAAACAAAAATTTCACTAACTTACAAACAACATAAAATCTTCTTTCTAGTTCAGAGTCTCCTTAATTTCCAGCAAGTTAACTTGAAGTCGATGTATGTACAATTGCCAAGAAGCTAGCTAGCTTTGTCAGACATTGAATTGATGGACTGTTGAGGTAAGATAATATTTTCATAAAACCATTAATGTCCAATGAGAATCCAGTAATATTTTCAGAAAGATGCTAACGTCCGATGAGAATCCACTGACATTCGAAGTTTATAACTGTTCCTGGTCAAATGTCATAAATTTTCCAGTTGAAAAGGGTTAGCAAAATCACGATTTATAATGTACAAGGTTATAGCAGGTTCCTAGCCAACTTTTCATGCTCTCTGTTTTTTTGGCGCGTCGCCTTGGCTGTTTTTATAGGCACAAGAAAGATTTTCTTGAAAATTCCGATAACAATACTGAGCTATATTCGACCAGAATTGGCGGGAGTTTCGCAGTACGTAACTAACAGTGTAAGCTCCGTACGTTTTTAAATATAAACTCAATCCAAACAAACGTTGTCATTAAAAAAATGTATAACAAATTCATTACATGCAATATATATCTGGCACTATAAGTTACACATATTTTCTAAACAACGTTTGTATTAAAAATAAATACATGACAACAAATTTGTTACATTGCTTAAATACTGGACTGTTGCTATTACTGAATCAGAGTTGTTTTTTATCCAAACTGGAATTGATGCTAACTTCTACAAGATCATTTCCTTCAATAGTATATACAAGAGTGTTTAAATCTAATGTTCCTTAAAAGGTAATGTAGTATTTACACTGAAGAACTAGTGATATCCATGTCATTTTCAATTACACATGAAAGAGGCTGTATCCTTGATATATCACCTGAACAATCATTGGAAAACATAGCTGTCCACATTCTTGCATAACATTCACCATTATAATCACACCCATGAATAGAACAGGTGTTATCTCTAAGGGACAACAAAAGAACAAAGATAGCTAGAACAAAGCCAACTAAACTTTTTAAGTACAGTACGTGTTATGGAAAGACTGCACACACACAATATGACTGATTAATCCCCAAAAATAATTTATTAAAAAAAAGACATAAGAAAATTCATGGTATGTTTATATACCAAAATATATCCAATATATCATAATTTGATACCAAGACTAAAAATGAAAAGAATAACCCCATTACCTACCACTAATAACTGGCATCTAGCTGCGAATGTGGGAATAAGTGAAGAAGTCTCTCAAAAGGTATATTCATGTCACAAAACAGCATAAGAAGAAAGTGTGAAAAACTATTGGTGAATGATCATTACATGACATAGCCTAGTATTTGTTTATAATAACTATTTAGAATATAGTTTAAAAGTTTGTACTTTGGATTCAATAAAAATAAAAATCAGTACATTGTGCCTTTAAAATAAATAGTACTTAACAGTACATTCAAATTGTTTAGGTAAATCATAACTGCATTACATTATAGAAATAGTTGTTATATACCAAAATCAATATCTAAAATTAACAAAAATAGCATAGGATTAGCAAAACTAACTTAAAATGTGGTGTAAAAAATATACTTGCCTGAGCTATGAACATCACTACATCATCCAGACTTTGTTTATATTCTGAGGGTTTCAACTGAAAAACTTGAATCAAGGAGTGGTAATGGCGATATTGCTGAAGAAACTAAAATAAATATGAAAAAATTATCTGTCATTCTTATTCTTTCAGTTCTTATATTCAATAATTCATTCAGCATCAATATGTCAATAACAGTAAAATATTTATATTTTGTTTAAATGCATTTGGCACTGAGTGATTTAATTGATTAGTCATTATAATCAATTACCTCTAAGCAATGATTATATCATCCAGTGTCACATAAACTAATAATATAATTGAAATTATGATTCAATAGATTAATGTCCCAAAAATAATCAGCTAAACACAACTAGTTTCTGATTATTACTGCTTTATTCCAATAATTGATTAATCATAATTACAATTGACACAAAAATAATCTTCTAATCAAAATAATAGTCTAATTATTACTATTTTCAATTATTCAACTACACAATTCTACCAAAAGTCATAGGGCAGGCAAAGTTATTGAAGGCTGAGCCTAACTGAGATGAGAGTTAAAAAAACACACTCAGATATACCAAATATTAGACAGGCACGAGAAAAGACATAAAATGCTTGAACAGCCAGCCCAGCCACACAACTTCGTGCTGAAAAATGTAGCTGTGAGAGGAGTCCACCCAAAAAGGAGCAAGGAGAAGCCAACTTCCCATGTATTAATGGAACCTCAGCCCCAATTCAAAAATATGGCATGCAAATGTCTTCATGACTTGACTGAAGATGTGAAGGGCAGGCCCAATGCCAAAAGGAAGAACATGGAACTGGAAGACACAATTTCAAAGGACAAAATATAGAAGATGTCTGGAGGATGGAGTAATCGGAATATATAAAGAACAAGCACCTGATACATTGAGCTTGGTCATCCACAGACTGGAACCATAGGACAACTAGAAATCAGTTGAGAGATAAAAGGTTGATAATCAGGCACTATTTCCTCAGTCTTCTTGGGGACCACAAAGAAATGATGGAAATATCCCATACGGGTAAATACCATATCAATGGCATTCTTGACCAAGAGATCTGAGGCTACATCCTCAAGACACTGAAGATAAATGGATTCAGAGGGAGGAGGAAAGAGAACAGGAAAAAAGGAATGAGGAGGAAGGAGGAGAAATGGTGAGATAGGCCATGAGTGAGAACATGAAGAACCCATCTGTTAGTCAAAACGAGAGACCAAAAGTTGTGAAGGGAAACAGATGAGCACTCACTGGGCCAAGCTCAACAGGGTAGTCACTGATAAAATGAGCAACGACCCTGACATCAGAAAGTGGAAGCATGGGAAAAAGAATAAGATTGGGAAGCTGGAATGGGAAAGGGAGACATGGTTTGAGCAAGCCTATAAATTGGAACAGAAGAGCGAGGTGGAAAAAGATGAGAAACCGAAGAAGACAATGAGAACAGCTGCCATAGCCTGAGTATCCAGGAAAGCAGGAACATCCACAAAGACCTCCGGATGAAAAAAAGAAGCCAGACATAGATCACAAAGATAAGGGTAATGCAGGCGAACATTAATTAGGAGAGCATACCTACCCAACAAGTCACCAAGTAAGGAGGGATAGAGCTAAAGAATTAGTTGGGTTAATCCTATTATAACAGGCTCATGTATTTTATATGACCTTGTAAGCACCATGTAACTCTAAAACTACTTGATGTATCTTCACAAAACGTGGCAAGCTTTCAGTAAACATTAACAGTCTTCTGTAGACAGAAGATCAGAATTTTTAATTAAGTATTTTTACTAAACATTTTCCATAATTATATGGAGTCAGAGTGTAGACTACTCCGAGTGCATGCTAAGATTAAAGCTACTTTCCTTTACCTGAAAAGTTTCAAATTCATTTGCATAATCCCTAAAACCTCCTAAATAAATATCAAATGTTTTTCAAGAAAAACTTTATTTTATTTGTTATTTCCTATACTTTAACTGTAAATAGGGTCAATTGCTTTGACTGACCTTGTAACCACAATAAAAAAAATAGGAAATAATTCTAAATCACCCTTTTTTCTTTCTGGAATGACTGCAAATGGTAACAGGACAGAACAATTGTTTATCCTAAATAGTTTAAAGCTTGTAACAATATACATCTATTTGTTTTATTGCATTTTGAACCATGTCTAACTAGTAACCCTGTTACAGAAGCTGTAAATCATTCTACAAACACATAGCTCCTGTTACAATATCAAATATGTAATGAACAAGCATACCTCATACAGATATTTTTTCGTTATCTTACCTAATCTAACTTTATCCAACCTAATAAGTTACTAATTTTTACATTGTAGTTACTTTTATAATAATAAATAAAGAATACAGATGAAAAACAAGAATATAGTACTTACCTGGGTCTTCTTTTTTTTATGCTGTCAACCATCGATGAAGCTTAATCCTATTTTTTTTTATATACTAATGGTACTAATATACTATATTTTTTATTTGATTAAATAATGCACCTAAAAACATAGAATATAAAATGTAAAAAGCAGACAATGTCCTATAACTATCATAATTTTTCTGGCTTTGTAATTATATGATAAGAGCTTTTAAAAATTCAGCTAAGCTCATCAATATGTTTCAAGTAAATATAAAGTTTGAACTTGAAGCAAAATAGACAATTCTCTGTACAGAAAACAATAAAATATTAAGTGTTAATTTTTCAGTAAAAATTTAGCTTTCTATTGGTTTTAAATAATATAGTATAAAATGTCAAAGACAACTATTGGCAATTTGTGAAAGAGAGGATGTGACAGGTAGGAGTGGCAAGTAGATCTGGTTTTCTACTTTATGACTCCATAAACAAATACGATTGAAAGCTATAAAAATTACACTTTGCCTGAGTAATATCTATATTAAGTAATTTACATTAAATTCCTTACTTCGCAGAGGGGTGGTAAATAAATTAGAGAAGAGGGAAGCCCTAGAGAGTAAATGCCACAGTCCTCATACTAGGGGAGATCGAGGATTTATAAAATATTTCATTATAAAAATAAGAACTACATTTTAATGCCAAGTTTATTTATAGACATTGATAATAAAATAGTTTAATCAAGTCTTGATTGTAAATGGTTGTAACATGCACTCTTTTACCTATCTGTTGCTAAAGGATTAAAGTGGTAAAGAGAAGAGAATAAACCTCTCCAGAAAACCCTTCCAGAAATAAGCTGAAGAGGCAAGAGGTAACGTAGACATGAAAATTGGGCACTAGAAAGTGAAACAGAAGTTATGGTAAAAGAGATTCCAAAGACTGGAAATCAAGGAAAGGAAATGGAGAATGGGTGTAAGCCAGGAAAAAAAAAAAGAGATTCAAGTAGACATGGAGGAAAAGACATGTTAATACAGTTCTAGAAACAAGTCTGCATGCATTCTAATATCAGTAGAAGGAGAGAAGACAAAGTAATCTTGAGAATTGGTTTCTTGTAGTTAGAGGAATGGGAGGAAATGAAAGATACTGGATAAAAAGAAAAAAAAAGAAGATACCTGCAATGCCATAATCAGGTCCAGAAAAGATTAGAAGGTTGAGGATTTTCTTCCACAGATAAAGTACCTAACACAAACCCAGGTGAAGGAAACAACCACTCAAAAGTCATCATCATCATCGTGAGAAGGAACATCAGCCAAATGGATGGGAGAAAAAAGCCAAGTGTGCATAAGAGAACCCACAACACAGTGAACAATGGCTGTTACATCCTAAATAAACAACGAGACTCCAGTAGCTATAGGTTCCATGTAACATCATCACCATCACAAGATGAAGTAGAAGTTCTTGTTACCTCAGATTTCATAATAAGTAAGCATAAAAAAAAAGTTATATTTTTCTTTTGTAATGAAAGAAGTCAGTTAAACTTAAATGACATTTATGTTTTGTTAACTTTCACAAATCACATGTAATTAAATAATATGTGCAAAAAAAAGAACATGGCCAATAGAGACAATGCTGAGGAAGAGAATGAAGTTATTTAGAGCTCAAGTGCTTAAGTGGAATTACAGCGTAAGGAGTTTGTATCGCCCTCCTATTGGTGGAAGAATATCACTGCATGATAATATACTCATGCACTAACACACTTCACATTAAACACAATTTTTATGCGGGAGCAAGTCTCATAGGCAGATGAGAAAAGGATAAAGCTATTTTGTTTGAAAAAGTGAGGTATCATCTTGGAAGTTAAACTTAGTTGTTACTTTAACATAATTATACTGTATTATCAGGGATTGGAGTCCAGCAAAATAACCAAGACTGAAAATGGAAGATGTCAAGTGAAATGAGGGGAAAATGTTTAGTAGTTACTGATTGCATGTTTACACTACAAATGCAAAACAAATATTCATAAAAAAAGCTACAGCAACAAACACACACTACACAAAACAATTGCAAACAAACTTTAATTTCTAAATAGTCCAGACAAATTTCCCAAACAACAGACAGGCTATACACAAGTCTTCTGCTCCTGTTGCTGAGAATAACTTGACTAGGATTAGGAAGGGAACTGATAGTGTTGATGCATCATCTTTTCCACTCTTAATGATGAGAATGGAATGAAATGGCACACAGTATAAAATTTGGCAAGGTAGGAGTCACTTTCATCAAAACCAGTTTTAATTTACTAAATATTTGTTGAGCCTTCCATTAAACTTCCTTCAATTTATTGCATCCACCACAACCTAGAGCAACCCATTCAAAGGCCAGTCTCCCTGTTGTAAACTTAACAACCTTTCCATCCCATTTTCTGTGTAAGTTCTAAAAATTACCCAAAATATTTTCACAAAATATACCAATATCTGATCTTTATAATAAAGGACTACTTAGAAGCCACAAAATCATTTACAAGCATTTTTATTTTGAAATAAAAGATACCAGGTTTATCTTAGATATTCTGCATGTAAATTAGATAACATAAACAAATAGTCATCAGGGTTTCACTAAGGGAAAAATCTTTTGAATTTCTCTGAAGAGGATAATGCTTATGTAAATCAAAATAAATGGCATGAATTTAGTATATCTTGATTTTCATGAAGCATTTAAGGAGGTGCCACACAAAAGGATTGTTAAAAATTATCAGGAAATAAAGTAGTGATCCTTATGTAGGGATGGGTCTGGTTAGAAATGGCAATCTGTTTATTGCATATGGTAGCTTGTACATCAGGACATCAGCAAAAAAGAATAGGCCTTCTCTAATGAAATACAAAACTGCCTGCTAAGTTTGGCTAACCTTCCCTGACATCTAAAAAATGAGCCATAAAAACATACACTGCACTCATAGGGTGGATGCATATATATAAGTTAGATGGTGGAATGCAGGAATGGATAATGCAGATTTTCCTCCCATCCCAAATGCTCTCTAGTTTCCGACCTTTTTCCATCCCAACAATTTTAGAATAAAATGTTTTCTTACCAGTCTTCATAGGCATGGTGGATAAGTTGACTCATTAGATAGAAAAATGGCTGGATAGAAGAATGCAGTATTCTTATAAATGGAGTTAGTCAAACTGGATTACTATTGCAAGTGAGGTACTACCTTGGAAAAACGTGTGTGTGTGTACACTTTAAGAACAAGAAGATATTTGTTGATTCATCTTGGCTACCATCTGATAAACTAAATTTTAAAATGAAAATAACACACTCAAAGCCAGCCCTTATCATTTAAATATTTATCAAGCCCTCTGTTAAACTCCCTTAAATTAACTGCATCCACCACACCTGAAGGCAATCCATTCCAAAGGTCGACCACCCTGTTAGAAAAATAAAGCTTTCTTAGCTGAAGTGTACATACAACTTAAAATCTTATTTGCCCTGCCACTAACATAAGCAAATTGCTTGGATGATTGATCAACTAGAACACAAAGATCCTTTTCTTCCATATCACTGTTACAATTATTCCCATCCAAATTATACTCATAATTCAAATTATGTGAGAACATGCAATATGTAGAATTTATTATAAAGCCATATGGTATTTATTCACCTAACTCACCAAATAATCCAAATCCTTTTGTACAGCAGCAGCATCTTTCTCACAGCCAGAGACCCCCAAAACTTTCATATCTTAAATAATTGTAATTATATTGATCATTCCTTCATCTATGTCATTAATGTAAATCAAAGAGAACAAGTGTTCTAACACTGATCCCCGAGGTACCCCACTTGTGACATTATTCCAGTTTGACTGAGCTATACTTATAACAGCCTCTACTTTCTTCCATCTAGTCAGTTTTCTTTGTTTAAGAAGGGCTCAAGAAAACTACATTCAAATAATAGATCTGTTAGACTGATAAGTCAAGTATGTAAAATTCATGAATTTATTATTAAGGATGCCAACTTACATTTCGAAACTTTTAATCTCATCAGAGACACACAACATGGTTTTACCAGCAGGATATCATGTTTAAACAATTTAGTTACTTACTTAGAAGAAGTGACTAAATATACTGGTGAAGGTCACCTGGTAGATATAATTTATCTTGGCTTTAGTAAAACTTTTGGTAAGGTTCCCTATGCCAGAGTAAATTAAGAAGCTTTATGTAAATGGAATATCTTCACAAGTGTTAAACCTGATCCAAGAATGGTTATATAATCATCAATAGTGTATTATTATAAATGGCACAGCATTTGAGTGGAGTGGGGTCGCTCAAGAGTCTGTGCTTGGCCCAACTTTATTTATTATTTATATTAATGACATTGATAAAAATGTCTGTAGTATGCTTTTAAAATTTGCAGATGATACCAAAGTTTACAACAGTATAGCAACTGTAGCTGATGCTGCTTGTCTACATTTGGGGTTAAACAACATGACTATTTTCTAGGTGACAGTCTATATAATCTGTTAATGAAGAAAAAGACCTAGAGGTGATTATTCACAAATCTCTTGATGTTAACAAACAATATGCTAAAGCTGTGAGAGCTACAAATCAGGTTTTAGGTAGGATTAAGAGAACTATTCAAAATAAGGAATGTAATGTGATGCTTAGGTTGTACAACTCACTTAACAGACTTCACTTAGAATATTATATCCATGTATAGCATTCATATCTTCAAAAGGATGTAGATCTACATGGAAAAGTTCATAGGAGATTATTCAAGATGGTAACAGGTTACATACTCTTTGTTATGAAAGGAGGTTACAAAAATTACACCTTACTATATTTCAACCTCATTAAGATTAAATGCTGAAGATTTCTTTATATTTAATAATTCTATAACTAGAGGCCACCAGTATAAATTATATAAGCATAGCTCCAGATTGGATTTCAGGAAGTTTTTTTTTTCTCTCTCTCAAAGAGCAGTGGGTGAGTGGAATAATCTTCCAATTGAAACAGTTTCTGTGAGAAGCGTTAAATGCGTATACATGCCACTTTCAACGACATTTACGACACAGAGAGAGAGCTTATAAAGTTATACGAGCCAGCGCTCAGCCGACTACCTGCTCCATCGCCCTCCTAGCCACGTGAAAAGAGTGGAGGCCACAAAAAATAATACCAGTACTAATAGTTTTTAGTTTTACTTGATTAATAACATTATCTTACTTACTTCATCCTTGTAAGACGCTGGATCTCGTTTTATCAAGTTCTGCAGCTGAGGAAGGTTGTTTGGCAACTGATTATTGAGTCTCTTCTTCATGTTGGTACTAGCAGTAATGGTACTACTATAGTAGTCGTACTGCTAACTTTTAGAATAAATCCACTGAGAGTTAGTTAAGGCTTAACTATATCAAGTTTACTTATAAGTTACAATATGAACCAAAAGTAAAAACTTTAACTAAAAAATAAGTTACGTAAACCCAATTTATATCTATTGTATGTTACACTGTAATTAAAAGAAAGACAAAAAACTGAACCCTTAATTTGGTGTCATAGTCATATATAATTTCTCACTTGAAAACAACACACGTGCACCAAGAATGAAAACACTACTACTCTATTCTCCGTCCCAATGCATTCCTCATTGTTGAAGATATATTTAAATAATACAAAATGAATTAATAAATATTACAAGATAAAAAAATCCAAGGAAATATCTAAATTATCAATATATTTGTACAAGATTCTCCCCAAAAATATTTTTCTCGGACAAAATCCCGTATATTATCAAAATATAAAACACTGTTCAACTTGATATGTCTACATTTTCATATTCGGGTGAACTCCCTATTTTTATGTTTGTTTGTTTTGAATTTCGCGCAAAGCTACACGAGGGCTATCTACGCTAGCCATCACTAATTTAGCAGTGTAAGACTAGAGGGAAGGAAGCTAGTCATCACCAACCACCGCCAACTCTTGGGCTACTCTTTTACCAACGAATAGTGGGATTGACCGTCACATTATAACGCCCCCACGGCTGAAAGGGCGAGCATGTTTGGTAGGACTGGGATTCGAACCCGCAGATTGCGAGTCGAGCTCCCTAACCACCTGGCCATGCGGGCCTTCCTATTATGATGTAAAACAATTATGCCTATATAGTTATAAAGCAGCTGCTTATGGTATATAACGTTTTCTACACAGTTTACATTCTTCTAACGAAGTATTAGTATTTTTGGTCTGAAATAGTCGTATGCCCAAGACCACCGTAGTATTGGTATTGTTGCGTATCTGCTCGTTTGTTAATTTCCGGTATAAATTCTTTCCGGGGAACTTCGGCGATAGAAGTCCTTTCTTAATTAAAACTGTTTATTCTTTCTTGATACAAATTTTAGTAATACACAGAATTTCCACAGTAACTTTAAACTTAACAACCTTTATAACACACGCTATAAATCACAGTGATTCACACACTTTACTTACGGTGCCTACTGTTCGCTTGAGTCAATTATCTCTATCTTCAATCTATCTCAATATGTATATATATCTATATCACTGGCGAGATTTCTCAATAAGTCATGATCCTTCTAGAAACTCCAGCGCGCATGCTCCCGGCATCGCATGACTTCCGGTGTCGTAAAAGTATACTTTGTATGCTGATTGTGCTTCACACAATATGTGTTACCTTTTGATCTCACAAGTTCTGCGTATGGGCCTGATTTTGACACTTATAATATAAGATGATCTAATTCTAAATTAATTTATCAATAAGACTGAAGTTAATTGAATCACTTCGCTTATAGCATTACCAGTGGCGTACTGAGGGAATGCAAGGATATTTGCTTCCCGACGCTGGGTTTGGAGGGGCACCAAATTAACAACCAGTTTACCCATAATTTAGATAGTGAATGAAGCTCATCAAAATGTTTTTGTTATACTAGACATTAAATATTATTATATCATCAGAAATATCATGTCTAGGGAAATCCCTTAGTTTTCATTGTTAGATTGATTAAAATACTGTTACGACAGCGGAAGTCACGTGCGTGACTGAGTTTCTCGAATTATCAGGGAACTCCTCGAATTTTGGCGAAGCCTCTTTGTTAGTATATAAGCCTGGCGAGAAAAGCCAGCGGCAATGAATGTATGGGTAAACGAACAGTAGTCACGGTGAGTTTCGGGTAATTTACGATTCTGTTTCGAGCTAGTGTGTATTCTGAACTTGTAGAGAGCGAAGTTATCAAGATTGTGAATCGCTGTGATTTACAGCCTGTATTACAAAAGTTGTTAAGTTGTTGAGAAACGTGCTGACTGTGGAATTACTGTGTACTAAAAATTTGTATCAAGAAAGAATAAACTGGTTTAGTCAAGAAGGGACTTGTATCGCTGAAGTTCCTCTGAAAGAATTTCTACCGGAAATTAACAAGCAAGCAGATACGTAACAATGCATTGATATATCATAGTAATTATAAAACAAATAACCATATAGTAGCTGGTTCCTTCCGAAGTTTCCCTCAGGATAGCTGTTGCTCAAGTGTAAATCAGTCGCATCCGGTGAAGCAAATGATTAGAGGCCTTGGGGCCGAAACGACCTCAAGCTATTTGGTTCCATAGATCTCTACTAGGCCCTAAAAAGGCCCGTTTGCTGGACTGTTTGTCGTTATCGCATTTTTTTCTTCTCGTTTTCTCATCCACACAGCTTTGCTGGAAACTTTATCTCCTTCACCTCAGACTAGGCTTATCCCACCTACCCCGTTTGACAAAATCTTATACTTTCTACGCCCAGCAATTACACTTTCCAGATAGTTAATAATGTTACGACAGCGGAAGTCACGTGACTCTGCTGGCGCATTGGCCTGGTGGCGTGTGCGAGGAGTTTCTTGAATGATCGTGAATTTCCTAGTTTGTTCGGGACGCCCTCTTTTTTAGTATATAAACCCGGCAAATAAAAAAGAGATAGATAATTGAGTCAAGCGAACAGTAGGCACCGTAAGTAAAGTGTGTGAATCACTGCGATTTATAACGTGTGTTATAGAGGTTGTTAAGTTAAAATGACTGCGGAAATTCTGTGTGTCACAAAAAGTTGTATCGAGAAAGAATAAACTAGTTTAATTAAGAAGGGACTTGTATCGTTGAAGTTCCTCGGAAAGAATTTTTACCGGAAATTATCAAACAAGCAGATACGTAACAATATGCTTATTCTCTAAATAAACACCAATTTCCTCTTTTCGAGCACCCCAGATGTTCACTTCTCGGCAACCGATATTTTAATGTCGATTAGTCTCCATCTAAATTCCTATCAAGTATTTTGGATTTGGATTTAGGAATTTAGCAATTGTATAAACAGATGACAATTGGAGGCCGGATTTTTCAAATTGTCGACGGATTTTTGGCTTCCCAAATAATTCTATCACAGATTTATTCGTCCTATAATAATACCGATCAGGAAAGTTATGGTTCATTTTTATATTAATGTAGAGTATAATATGCAACATACTGTTATATAAACCAGATATCTTAATTAACTAACAATTCAAATTCATAAAGAATAAACTATAATTTCCACAATTCTGGCGGCCATGACAATATGATGTGATACAATATAATTTAAAGGGCGGGTGGATTTTTTTTTTGCGAGACGCAAAATTATGTTTCGCCACCGAGCGCCAGACACCCTCACTACATCACTGGCAATATCTTTTTCATAAATAACGATTTCGATGCAACTAACAATAAAACACGTAAAATTTCACTAGAAATGGTTTTATGTTTACCTTAAGTGGAAGAAAAAAAAGTCAAGGAAATATTTGAAAGGAACACAGCCAAAGTTCTAGTAATTTTTCTCACTAATGAAGCTACAGGTAAAATTCCTAAACGTAAATTAAACAATGTGTTAGAAAATCGACAAGTTTTATATATTTTTTAGTTCAAAGGCTGTATCCTTTATATATCATCCATTCGACCAGCCAAGGACATTGCTGTTAACGGTGTTTTTCAACACAAATGGTAAAGTTGCGGGAACATCCTTCAGGCAAAGCAAATAACTTCCGCTGAAGAAAAACCCAGGCACTAAAGCACGCAACTAGAATGAAACAATTTCAACTGTTTACTGGGTCACGTGTTTATGACAAAATTATGTAGAAACAGATTAAACAATAAATAAATATTGATGAAAATGGTGGGAAATATGTATTCTATGACTGCTTACCACAGGTGTATCAAAAATCTTTAGAAACTACTCGATAATGAAGCTTCTAAGCCTGATAATACAAATCCTAAAAGAAGCTTAACAAAGACAAGATTGATGATGTTAACAATGAGTTTCACGAATCTATTAAAAACAGAAATTCCTGTTCATTGGAAAATTTTGGGCAAGATCATAAGTATTATTATTTCAATAATTGCTCTTGGGAGAATTAGGGAAATCATGTACTTGTGGTATCCTCAGATATACTAATTACGTTTAAAAATAATTGGACAGAAAAACGAAGGTCTCAAAAGAAAATATATTAGAGTGTGAATCTGATAACCTTCTTCCAATTGAGCTTGGAGCAAAGAAAGAGACAGGGCACAATGTACAACACACTAAAAGAAACTCTATTTTAAATGAAGTGAACAAATCAAAAGTAAACAAGTGTATTTTGTGGTTTCTTTGCTGGAGAGCTCTCAAACAATAAGTTTGGGTAGAATCTGAATAAGATCATCATATCATTCTGTTTCAGAGTGAGAAAGCATGACACCATATACGGAAAACAACAATGGCGCATGCAATATCTACTATATATCACTGAAAAAATAATGTATGTTGTATCCTTGAAGTATATTTTACCTTACCTACCAGTGGAAAAGATCAGTGTCTATTTCTGTACAGTGTTCTCCTTTTTACAGAAGTCTTTCCCATAAGGATGTTCATGTAACACCCTATTTGAATGACCCAGTTCAATATACAACTAGGACGAGTGTAACTTAGTGGCTACCTTGACTGAGATTCTAAAAGAAGACTATATGTAAAATATTAAGAGAAGTTTTCAAATTTTCTGTATTAAATAAGGGGGTTGGGAAACGTGTAGTATGTCCGTGTGGCGTGCATCACATATTTCTTCTCTCCTTTATATTCAGACATTCCTGACCATCCCTTATTTTAAAACTTCAAAATCAATTAAAACATCTCATATATTAGTCCAGATGTCAGTGAAACTTACTTCCACCCTTAAAAAACAATCACACAACATCATAAACAATTAAAACTGGGAAAATAACATCATAGAACAAACTCAAAATTATATCCAAATGTAAAATCAAATATGTTAAATATTAACACTTCAAAATCAGTAATTTCATAATACAAAATCAGTATTTTAATATCTAAAAAATATTTTTCAACAATAAACTACCGAACTCTTATAATCATCATATTAATATATATGTTGTACAATAAAATCGCTTAACACAGCAATATATATATACACTACCCTCCCAAAAGTCATGGGACACACACCTCTGATTGTAGGGAAATGGGTGTGACGACGAAATATGCAAATACTTTGGTCTATAAAGGTGATCAGCGGTTTGCTCGGAAGTAATTTCGAATGCTGAGTACATGGAAAGAGCTAACAGAGTTTC